GTGTGATGGTTAGAGGGACTGTGGTATCCCCAGCCCACTAGGGTTCAAGTCCTGCTGCTCGCGTTATTCCTGTATTTATTTCAGGATTTCCGGCAATGTGCTTTCAGTGGGAGGAGACGTTCCCGTCGACGACGAGGCGCCTACGTTGACTTCGTAAATCTCAAGTTGATATGCCGGCTTAGTCTTTCGGAGGTGCTCATAGGGGTAGGGTGTGCGTGTGTGCGTTCATAGGGATAAGTGTATGCGCGTGTATATGAGCACTTGTTCTTTACTGATGCTCAAAAAAAAGATAATACCTCACATCTAACATGACAACATGACGTCATTCTACATTATGGCCCCTTCCGTTGACAAATATGATCGGTTCCTTCCTCCCGTTTTCAACTTCGTGCGGCCCCAAGCATGCTTGTATGTCCTGGTTGTTTTTTTTGTCGCTGCCCAACCCACCCCCCATCAACCGCTGAAGCATTGGACACGCATTTGTTTTAGACGTATCCGCGTACAGCTGAACGCTTGTCTCAAAACAAAAAACAAACCAAACAGCTGAACGCACATCGAACACGGCCATACATGTGTGCAACCATACGCGTTGCCTGGCGGTGAGCCATGCACACAACATATTTTTTTTATTCACTCTACACGTCACGTGCGTACATGCAAGAGTGAATTTATTTTATTTTCTACTCCCTCCGTTTCTAAATATTTGTTTTTCTAGAGATTTCAACAAGTCACTACATACGGAGCAAAATGAGTGAATCTACACTTTAAAATATGTCTACATACATCTGTATGTGGTAGTCCATTTGAAGTCTCTAAAAAGACAGATATTTACGAACGGAGGGTATATATCCAAATAGAAACACTCCATTAGATGATTTTCCTGGATCCTAGTGAAGCCACATCATCTCAATTGTTGCAGCCATTGATGTGGTATAGATCAGCAATTAGTAGCCACTTGATCAGAAGTTGACGAAAATTACTGAGCTTGCCACCACTAAGGGAAAAGTACGGCTTCGTTCTGTTGCGCGGTTCCGCTGTCGCTGCCTGCCTCGTAGCGTTCCGACTTGTTTTTTTTTTCCGAGACAATCGGTTCGATTTGTTTTGGCTGGGTTGTGCGTGCACTAGTGTTTAAGCCGACAACTGAGCTGGCATCCAATAAATTGTACTCCCTTCGTCCGGAAATACTCGTTGGATGAATGGATGTATCTAGATGTATTTTAGTTCTAGATACATTCATTTTTATGCATTTCTTCGATAAATACATGGCAACTAGCTTTGTCATTGGTGTGCCAGCCCATACAGGCCTGGCCAGCTTAGTACTCCACATAGCTTCGTCTTCCTTGCTCCAAGTTCGCTCGCGGCCATTGTCCGTTCGTCTCACCGCCGCTGTCTTTTCCGCTCCCCGCCCCGACGAACGTGCATGCCGCTGTCTCTTCCGCTCCGTAATAAATTATCCTCCTTGCTCTCTATCCGCCTAACCAGTTATCCTCCTTTCTCTTCCTCTACTTGGCACGAAAGAAACTGATACGGATCGTCATCTTCGCTGCGACACCGGCGAACGACCACTGCTATTTGGCTCATGATGTTCGGTCACCAAACCTAAACCGTGGTGAGCTCCTCTATTAGTTTCTCCCTCTCTTATTCAAAGGAGTTGCGGTTCCCTCACCATGCTTGCCATTGGTGTCGCCGTAGTCCATATTAACCCCTTCTTTTCATGCGGTCCGTGATTGCAAGACTGAAGCAGACTTAATTTCTGTGATGAGGTTGTGTTTTGAATTTGGCTTGGGATTTTGGGCTAGCTCCGTAATCAGTTTTTCTTGCATCATTTGCTTATGTTGTTTCACTGTAACAAGGAGCTCAGGATCATCTTTATCTACTATTATTGGTTCAGAAATAATTTATAGTGCCATCCTCGCATTGGTTTTTGCAGGCAGCTAGAAATCATCGTAATATGTGAATCGTATGTACTACCATGTTCATATAAGTGACACACCGGCAATGCAAAAAGGAGTATAATTCATCTGCGCCATGGTTCATCATTTTTCAGCTATACTTTGTTTCTGTACCAGTCTTCGTTTCCTCATATTCAGGTGCTCAGGTGCACAGCTTCCATAAACTGCACATGTGGAGTACAGCTATTCATCAACTCTCCATTTTGGATTGAGCTGCAGCAAATGGTCAATTACTAATTCCGTGTGATTGTTCTTCTAAACAAGTCCATTAAAATAACTCTTTTTATTTCCTCTACCAGACAGAGCTATCGAGATCTCATTACTTTACCCATGTCCCTCCAATTCTATTAGTCAGATCGAGCAATCACTCGCACCGATGAAAGCAAGCAGGAACTTATTAGATTTTGTGAGCTGGACTTCGATATCATTTGCATCGGTTTCCCGGCAAGGTAAATATGATTCCATAGTTCATGGTTTATCTTAATTCCCTAATTCATTCCTTTTACTTTCTCAAATCTGAAAGTACATGTTATTATGGATGGATTTTCACCTTTTTTTGCGAAAAGATAAATATTCAGCTTGATCATGAATAAGCAACCAATTAGCCATCATAGTTCTATATTGAATAATCTATGCTTCTACAAATCATTATCTATCTTCAGGTTCAAAAAAAAAAACAAATCATTATCATATGTTGCGGATGTTGTTGATAGAAGTTTTGGTCTATACATCGAACAATGGTGTACATGTTATTTGTGTACGCAGTCAGTAACTTTTTGTTTGGTCCAGTTAGTGAAATCAATATACATATATTTTAGTTCCACAAATACGGTTAATCTATTTCATCTTTATCTTATGGTTTTGTAAGCATAGTTATACTTCTGATACTACATGTCTACATACAAGTCCATTGGAGGACTAATTTCACGTGCATCTTCCATCTGAGTAGGTACAAATTTAACTTCACTATTATTATTGCTCTTGCATTAGTTGAGCAGTTCCAAAACTTCTATTTCTTATACAATATGTTGCTCAGTAAAAATTTAAATATGCATGTGGCAAATTTGGGATGAAGCTAAAGGCGTTGTTCTTTTCCAGAACCACTTTAGGCCAGCTAAGTATCAAATATTAGTATACGTACTAATTTGTTTTGATGGTTATTATACAAATCTCAATTTTTTTTCTCGAGGGAGAAACCTAATATGAATACTAATTCTTTGTGAGGATGTAACAACTGTACTTGCAGTCAATGTCACTTTTATTTTTTTCATGTCCTTTTCTCTTGGGGAGTGTTTGTTCAAAGCTTTTTATAAAATGCATGGAGTGCCGCAGCAATGCGCGGGGAATCTTCTAGTTTATTTAGTTTCTCAAAATGTTCCCTGCGCACTTAAAAAATGTTCATGAAAAGTAACTTTGTTCACATGTAGTTTAAAAATTCATGCAGTGTAAAAAATGCTCCCCCAGCTTTATCAAAATGTCGCATCCTTCTCCCTCCATCCTGCCTCCTTCCCTCACCACACACCTACTACTCCCGCCTGCCACCGATGCAACCACCGCTACCACCAGATGGGTTACGAGGGTTGGCCGAGATCTAGGCCTCCATCCTCACGAGTCACAACAGGTGCGAACAAGAACAGATTGATGGGGTCCTGACGGCAGCGAACATCGGTAGATCGGGTGGCAGGGAGAGGGTTGTGGTTCGTTGGTTAGGAGAAGATGGGAATCTGGCCAACGAGGGCATGTGAATTGGATTGTCCGGATAAAGTTTGTCATTCATTTTCTCCTTTCTCGTCTTCTTTCCCATGAGGGTCATTGTAGATTGATTAATAGGCAATGCCAAGTCAACCACTTATGTGAAACTTTGTACGCATGTCCCTAGATTGCTTACTAAGTGGGAATAAGCAAACAAACAGGGATCAATCTTCTAATCAGAAATTTCAAAAGATGAGTGATGCGCTGCATCTGCTCGAAGGGTTATCCTGTCAGGGTTGTGCCGTATGTTCTTCTTGCCATAAATATTTCCTCAATTATCATCATTTGATGAGTGGATGATATGAAGGCATCATGCTGTTAGCTCAACTGTGTTAACGATGCCTGTTATTGTTTTCCATGATTTGCTTTTCATTGTTACATTTTCTTTAGCATATATGGAGGCCATCTACTATTCTGCTGATATTTTTTATCATATCATCTTGTTTGTGGACTTACATTTGACTACACTATCTTATAAAGGTCCCACAAAGAGAAGCGTTGCTCATATGCTCCTGAATCAGGTGTGCAGTATGATGGAGTTTACAGAATTGAGAACTGTTAGATAAAGATTGGTGTTCAGGTAATTTTACTTCCTGTAGAGAGGTTCCACATGCTGCTCTCTACTTTGTGCCACTGAATGAAAGATCAATGTATATTCTTTTGATTTCTGTCACAGGGTACATATAAGGTCTTGATGTTAAACTGATGTATTTTTTATTGCTTACTAAACCCTCCTAACTCCACTTGAAGTTAAACTGAAGTATTAATCAATCTTGTTTGCTTTCTTGTACGTGTATGCCTACTTACCTTGCCCTATATGGCGATCGATGGCCAGCCATGGAACGGTTCTGATTTTTTTATTTTGTCAAGTTCAGTTCATATTTTTTTTATCCATGTGGTGTTTAAACGATGACTATGCCATAATTAAACTACTATGCTAATAGCCTATTTAAGGAAAGTTCGCCTCATCAAGAACACGTCTCGAAGCGGAAAGGAGATGATGGGCTAGCTATCTCCCAGGACAAACCATTCCATAGATTAATTGATCTTTTCTCAAGCAGATGAGCAAACATGAAGCAAATGGGTAGAAGCCAGGGTTACATTTTTTGAAGTTATTATAAAAAACAGAGGGATCTTCTGCAACGACTATATGAAACAAAAGCTAGTTTAAACTACATAAAGCAACCACCGGAGGACAGGAAATTTGTCAAGCACAATTTGGCTAAGCCAACTGAGGGCATGGGCATCACTAATATAAATTTTAAGTGTGTCCATCTAACGTACATGAAAGCAAAACTACCGAGGATACTCTGCAGATGATATGAACTCTTGTTCCATACTGTGTCGTCTGGTCGACCCCTTAATGTTGCTTTCGACTTTTGTAGATGGGAATGCAATATCCAAAGTTTGCTTTCTCGATGTGTGTGCGGCTTCAAGCGTCAACTCCACTTCTCTCATGGTCGGACGATCCTCTCTTCTTAATTGTACGCATGCTACTGCTATACAGGACACTTCTTGGACTTCTTTGCCTCCTTCCTCAATAACTTGAGGATCTAATATCTGGAGCAAATTGCCTTCTTTAAACAAGGTAACAAAATGTTCAACAAGACCCTCGTCTTCTGAGGATGAATATGAAAATGGTTTCTTTCTAGTTAGCAGTTCCACAAGGACAACTCCAAAGTTGTAAACATCACTTTTCTCGGTGAGTCTCCCTGTGTAAAAGTACATAGGATCCCAGTATCCTCTCGTACCTTGAGCCCTTGTTGTAACCCCAGATATATCTACTGGAATATGCTTTGAAGCTCCAAAATCTGCCACCTTTGCTGTTAGAGTATCATCCAGAAGTATGTTAGTAGACTTGATATCTCTATGGATGATAGGTGTTGAAGCAGCCGTGTGAAGATATGCGAGAGATTTGGCAGCCTCCATGACTATCCTCAACCTGTTGCTCCAAGACAGTGATTCTGGTTCTTCGACATGAAGATGCTCATAAAGGGTCCCATTGGATATGAATTCATAGACTAACATCGGAACTTCAGTTTCAAGGCAGCAACCATAGAGTTTTACTACATTTCTATGGTTGATTTGTGATAGGATGACAACCTCATTGATAAATTCATCAATCTCTCTCTGTAATATTTTGTTTGGTTTCTTGATGGCTACAACATGTTGGTCGAGTAAAATTCCTTTGTAAACGGTACCATGGCCCCCGCTGCCAACCTCAAGATCTTTGTCAAAATTTTGTGTTGCCTTCTCTAGCTCTTTCAAGGTCATTATCATTCTTTCTGCAACACCAGCCCTTTGAGATATCAACCGTTTCAACAATTGTCCATGATTTAGCTTGAAGAACTTCCGTTTTAACGCATTTCCCCTCAAAACATCTAGTTTCACTTGAAGTAAACAATAGAATATCCCGATGCATGTCATAGAAATGATAATTCCAAACCAGATAAATAAACCTGAAAATACATAGACCTTGTTAGAATTTTCTCATAGGTGAACTGATAAAAATAATGCGGGACTTGCTAAGAAACAAAAACGGATGATTAACAAAACGTCATCCCAAAGTTGCTCACCCCCACCAAGACTTTGCTAAGAAACAAAACGAATTTGAAACAAAAAGATTACCGATTTCTATTGAGAAGAAGCCGAGCCGATCAATTAACAGTCAGAATATATATATACCAATATACGTGGCAGTAGTATTTGGTACTATAATACTAGATGTAATGGGCTAGTGGCTTGATCTCAAAGAAAATACAGATACCAGTAGTTTCAAATTAAGTTGATTGATCTTGCAGCGTTGCTCACCAACATTCGACACACTTAAATCTGGAGACAAATAGTAAAATTCACTTGATTAGGTAGATGTAGGGATGGATGCTAGAGAAACAAGCAACGCAAATGAACCGTACAATGAACGTGTTACCTTGGCAGCCACCGTCGACGAGGTAAGGGTTACCGTGGCCTAACATACATTGGCAACTGTAGCCTCTGTTCCCTGGTAGGCAAAAGCTGTGCTTGTCCTTGCAGATATCGGCAGCCGCCTCCGCAGCACAATCGGGATACGAGTTGGCGTCAGCAGCGGGTAAGCCTGCCGATTGCAACACCTCCCAGTGTAAAACCAAAGGAACCTTGGGCGCAGACCTTGAGTTGTGTCCAAGCGCCTGCACCTGCTGCTGGTGGGTGACGTTGCGGTTGTCGAACCACCCCTGCTCCGCGATCAGCGCGTAAGGGGGCCGCAACACATTTTGCTCGTGATCGGCGAATCTGAAGATGAGCCTCAGCTCGTTGGACATGTCGTCCTTGGACGAAGAGATGTGCGCCTGGCAGCAGCCCACGCCATAGCAGTTCTTGTTGTCGCCGCCGTTGTTTGCAATTGGCATCCTTTCAGGTTCGTCCTCAGAGCAGAAGGTGGCGCAGCCAGTGATGATGCTCGAACCCCCAAGCAATGTCGCCTGGACGTTACACCCCACGAGGATGAGCTCGTTGCGGGCCGACAATTGGTAGAACTCTTTGCCGACCGACAGTGCGTAGTACTCGTTGCCGGCCGATAATGAGTAGAACGCGTCCCCATGGCCCGTGAAATAATCACCGAGATGGAATGAGTAAGGACGTCTGGAGACGGCGTCGATGACGGTGACGGAGCTGGTGACGCTCACTGTGGCGTTCTCGATGGAGATGTTTTGGACTTGGAAGGCCCCGTAGCCGTCGAGCAGCAGCCGTGGGGGTTGATCGCTGCTGCTGCTTCCATAGTCGCAGGTGAGGTTGAAACCTGGACGGTAGCAGTACTCCGGGCCGATGCCGAACGGGTACGGCACGGCCACGTCTCCGCATGACCTGTTGCAGCTAGGACCGCCTGACCCTGACAGGTGGAAAGCAAAACTAGCTAATTAAGCAGGAAATCCTCCCCAAATTATATATGCTGTCAGTCTGCGGCGTTGATTTCCTATTAGTAAGCTCACACCATTGGCACCTTTGACTGAGGCGAAAGGGATGCAGTATCCACCGGGAGACGATGCGTTCCCATGGGTTCCTGGCGGGCATTCGCAGTCGAACCCTCCGTCCGTGTTCCTGCATATACCGTCACCGGGGCACGGGTAGTCTTCTGGCAGCTCGCACTCGTTGATATCTGCACGTACGTGAAATTTATGAGCTATGATTGAGCAGACAGACAGATCGATCAAGAAAGAAGTTGAAGAATTCAGTCAACCTTTGCATCCGTCGGTGATGTAGGGATTGCCATGGTAACCTTCTTTACACCGGCATGTATAGCCTCCTCCTCCTCCTCCTCCCGTACCTACGTGGCACTCGCTGTTGCTGCCAGCCGTAGCACCGCCGACGCCGACCTCCCAGTCCAGCCAAAGGGGCACTGCCGCCACCGCCGGAGCGTCCTTGGAGGGGATTTTCAACAGACGGTTTAAAACCCGCCTCTGCTCGACCCATCCCTCGCTGGCCACGAACACTCGCGCCGGCATCCGTGCCTCGTCGGCGCTGCGGTTCCGACCGAACCACTCCAGCTGCACGTCGTAGGAGAAAACCGCCGCCGTCTGGTGGTTGACGACGATGGCCACGTGGCAGCAGCCTATGCCGGAGCACAGCGTGCTGCTCTCAGGCCTGGACGGCAAGGGCCCGTCTCCGTCGTCGCACAAGGAGGAGCAGCCGCCTATAGTGGCGTCTCCGTTCTTGAGCGTTGCCCGGACGTTGCAGCCCGTCAGGATGAGCTCGTTCCCGGCGCCTGAGCCTGAGCCCGAGCCAGCTGATAGCCTGTAGGGCCGGAGGTTAACGCGGAACGAGCCGCTGACGCCGGCGGTGCGTTTGACAAGAACCTTGGACTCCAACAGGCTGATGTGGTCGACTTGCAGCATGCCGCCGTCGCCGAGCAGCAGCCAAGGGGGGTCACTTCTGCGGTCGCAGCTGAGGTTGAACCCCGGCGAGTGGTAGCAACGGGGTGGGCCCACCCCGAACGGATACGGCATGCTCACGTTGCCGCAGGTTGTGTCGCAGTCCGGCATCCCTATCATGGGCGCCGCTGCAGGAGCTGGAGCGGTGGCGGCCAGCGCCGGCAGCAGCAACAGCAGTAGCGTTGCTGCCATCAACTTCCAAGTTAGCATCATGCTAAGTTGAGCTCCTGATGAATGAATGTTGTGTACTAGTGAGTGGTGTGCTACATACATATATACGATGCGACCAACGATCACCAGGACATGGTAATATATACAGCAAAAATTGGCCTTACACTTGCTCTTAGCAATAATTACCTTTCTTTTTTGCGGGGAAGCAATAATTACCCTTGACTGGTCCCACACCTAATACGCCGTCCTACCCCAAAGTTTCGTGTACAGGATCCAGTCTTCGATTGACCGGAGACTAACAGTGTATTTAAGTACGTGCTAGTACACGAGCTTCTATTTTTTTTTCTAAAAAAGGGACAGCACTGAGTAGCGAGCGTGCCTTCTAATGTCTGTCTTTGGACCATTGTTGAACCATTGTTGAAGAAATCGTTAACTGGTAGCTGCTCGGTAGGTTGGCGAGTAGAGAATTAATAGGCTAATCGACAAGTTAATCGGCCATTCAGTCAATTAGTCGAACGATTTATCAGTTTATCGGCTACTCGGTAACCCTACGAGTATGGATTAATCGGCAAGTTAACTGGTTAATCGAACGAATTATTGAATAGGGCTTTGGACTGATAAGTAATTACAGTAGGATTTAAGAAAAGAACACCGGCTAGTGCGTATGACTCGATCGAGACTGATGTCTGTCTTTGGACTGATAAGTAACTACAGTAGGATTTAAGAAAAGAACAACGGCTAGTGCGTATGACGCGATCGAGACTGATATCTGTCTTTGGACTGATAATTAACTACAGTATGATTTAAGAAAAGAACACCGGCTAGTGCGTATTGACTAAGTTGATGACGTACTGACTTTGATCTAAACATGCACGTACTAAGCAAACAGTAGACAAATCTACACATACTGCTAGTACTGCTAATATGAAATTAATCAGGAGCGGGATAAACGAGTTATACCCTCCAGTAGGCCATGCAGAGGCCGCGGCTTTGGTGGCAGCAGCGGCGTCCTCGGCGGCCTTCTTGTCGGCTTCAGCTTTCTCGGCGGCGGCACGGTCGGGGTCGGTGGACATGGTGATGATGAAGGCGACGCGGACGTAGAGGAAGTAGACGATCGGAAGCGAGCAGCCGCGTAATCGCTGCCCAAAAACCTATTCGCCCCTCACCCCGTACAGGAACCAGAAGGGCGTGGTTTCGGAGACCTGCTCTCCCGTCGACCGTGTACGCGGTGAACGGGATGGAGTCGCCGGCGGCAGCAGCAGCAGAGGAACGACGTGGGCGTGGAGGCGGAGATGCGTTCTGTTTTCGCGGCGGCTAGGGTTGGCAGCGCCCCACATATATATGTGCGGCCGCGCGTGGAGAGACGTGGGCTGAACCCACGTCCAAGTCGGTAGCCCACGATCCGACGTCTCAGATCGTGGCCCTACCTGTCAAAGACTCTCCGTTCCTGACCGGCAAAAAGAAGTGCATAGGAGCGAGCTCGGCTCGGCTCAGTCCCGCAACCCGCGGCGCGTCGTGACGAGGCGAGGCGAGACATGGCGTGGCGTGGCGAGGCGAGCGGAGGAGGAGGAGTGCGTGAGGGCCTCTTCTCTTCTCAAGCTCCAATAGTATGTAGAAGAGCTACCCTTATAAACCACTCCAACTTTCCTTCCACTAGCATGGTGGGACTAAACTTCCCACCACCTTGTCATGCCACCTACATGGGCCCTTAGAGATCAAATCTGAAATTGTCATATGGGCTTTAGGCCCATCTCACATTTTAACAATCCCCCACCAGATCTCAGGGGCCCACTTTGTCCTTTGTTCCAAACGCTGTTTTGATATACTAGTGTTTTAGTGAAGACCTGTTAAGGTTGAGCTTCATCTAGAGCAAGTAGCTACATTCCTTCACAACTGAACAATGGACTATGCCTTGAATTGTCAGTTTGGCGTAAAGAAGTTTCACCACATGTCTTACTAGTACTGGGCTGCCGAAGGCTGACCCCTCGGGTGGAGCATATAAGTCACACTCCTAGCCTATTCATGAGCTTACTAGAGATCACCCCAATCTCATAGACTGTGACTAGCAGTCGGGCTCACATAGGTGTGTTCCTCCAAAGATCGCTCTGTATGATAGCATCTTGCTTATACATATAAGCCTTGAAACACATTAAGACAGTAGTCATCCTTCCATACAGTTTCCGAGAGTATTGCATCTCCAATGGAGTGGGTTAGTAAAGTTACTCTCCTCAGTTCACCACTGGCTTGTTTCCCAGGTCCTACTTCACGGGATCTCCGATCACATAGGTTGGGTTACCACCATGGCAACTCATGTGGGTCTCATACCCATCTCCCTCGATGCACTATCTATTACTACACGTGATAGCCCTTTCGTAAAGGGATCTGCCAGATTCTTAGCCGTATGGACATAGTCCAGCGCTATCACTCCGGAGTTTCTTAATTTTCTGACAGCTTTTAATCTCATTCTTATGTGTTTGTTGGACTTCATGTTGTCCTTTGAACTCTTCACCTTGGTGATGACAGCCTGATTGTCACAGTTCATAAGGATAGCCGGAACCGGTTTATCAACCAGTGGCAAGTCCATCAAAGGATCTCGAAGCCATCCTGCTTCAACACCAGAAGTGTCTAATGCTGTTAATTCTGCTTCCATTGTCGATCTCGTTAAGATCGTTTGCTTGCAAGACTTCCAGGAAACTGCGCCACCTCCAAGAGTAAACATATACCCAGTTGTGGCCTTCATCTCATCAGCATCAGAGATCCAATTCGCATCACTATACCCTTCAAGTACCGACGGGTCTCCGATATAGTGAAGTCCATAGTTCATAGTACTTTTCAGATAGCGCATAACTCTTTCAACAGCATTGCCAATGTACATCACCCGGTTTGGAAACAAACCGGCTCAGTTTCCTCACAGCAAACGCGATGTCAGGCCTCGTTGCGCTCGCTAGGTACATCAGTGAACCAATGATTTGAGAGTATCTTAATTGATCTTTAGCCATGCCTTTGGACTTTCGAATCAACACGCTAGGATCATATGGTGTTTGAGATGGTGTGCAGTACGAATATCCAAAACGACTCAACACCTTCTCAACATAATGGGATTGCAGAAGTGTGATCCCACCCTCATTATCTCTCAGTAGCTTGATGTTCAAGATAACATCAGCCACACCAAGGTCCTTCATCTCAAAGTTCTGAGACAGAAACGATTTGACCTCCTCAATGACTTTGAGGTTTGTTCCGAATATCAGTATGTCATCAACATACATGCACAGTATAACTCATTCGCCCCCACCATGGCGATAGTATACACATTTGTCAGCCTCATTAACAACGAAGACAACAGATGTCAGAGTTGTATTGAACTTATCATGCCATTGCTTAGGTGCTTGCTTCAGGCCATATAAAGATTTCAGCAACTTACACACCTTCCTTTCCTGACCATCTATCACAAAGCTATCTGGCTGTTGCATGTACATTTCCTCATTTAGCTCTCCATTTAGAAAAGCCGTCTTAACATCCATTTGATGGACGAGAAGACCATGTGAGGCCGCCAACAAGAGTAATACTCGAATGGTGGTCAGTCTAGCCACAGGTGAATAAGTATCAAAGAAATCTTCCTCTTCTTTCTGGTCATAGCCTTTGGACACAAGCCTGGCCTTGTACTTTTCAATCGTACCATCAGGCCTAAGCTTTTTCTTGAACACCCACTTACATCCCAATGGTTTGCAACCATAGGGACGCTCAGTGATCTCACATGTCCCGTTAGCCATGATGGAATCCATCTCGCTACGGACCGCATCCTTCCAGTAGTCAGCTTCTGGAGAGGCATACGCTTCTGAGATAGAAGTGAGAGTATCATCCACGAGGTACACGAAGAAATCATCACCAAAGGTCTTTGCAGTCCTTTGTCTCTTGCCCCTACAAGGGTTTCCTTGTCATCCTCCTCAGGATTTTCATCATGTGTTCGTTCATAATATTCCGTAGGAATGGCAGGCTCAGGAGTCTCCTCAGATTCCTGTCTAGAAGTGCTTTGTATATCTCTCATAGAAAAATATCCTCAAAGAATGTAGCATCCTTAGACTCTATGATTGTACCGACCTTCTGGTCAGGTAACTCAGATTTCACTACTAAAAATCTATAGCCAACGCTGTTCTTAGCGTAGCCCAAATTAACGCAGTCCACAGTCTTGGGTCCAAGCTTACGCTTTTTGGGGATCGGCACGTTGACTTTCGCCAAACAGCCCCAAGTACACAAGTACGAGAGTGTTGTCATTCTCTTTGCCCATCTCTCATAGGGAGTGATCTCATTATCCTTTATCAGAACTTTATTCAGGACATGACATGCCGTCAATATAGCCTCCCCCCACCATGCCTTGGATAAACCCGACGTATCTAACATGGCGTTAACCAGATCAGTTAGAGTATGGTTTTTCCGCTCGGCAACCCCGTTTGACTGGGGTGAATAGGGAGGCGTCCTCTCATGAATAATGCCGTGTTCCGCACAGAAAGAATCAAACTCACTCGAGAAGTACTCTCCACCACGATCTGAACGGAATCGTTTAATTTTCTTTTCAAGTTGATTCTCAACTTCTGCCTTATAGATTTTAAAGTAGTGTAGAGCCTCATCTTTAGTATTTAACAGATACACATAGCAATATCTAGTGGAATCATCTATCAATGTCATGAAGTATTTCTTTCCACCTTTAGTCAATACACCGTTCATCTCACAAAGATCAGAATGTATGAGTTCTAATGGTGCCAAGTGTCTCTCCTCCGCAGCCTTGTGAGGCTGGCGAGGTTGCTTAGCTTGCACACATGACAGGCACTTAGAACCTTTGGCTAAAGTGAAACTCGGGATTAAATCCAACTTAGCTAGCCGCGTCATAACACCGAAACTTATGTGACAAAGACGTGAATGCCAAACCTCAGATTCATTAACACTCGAATGAACATGGTTCACGACTTTATTACAGAAATCTGCGAGGGAAAGGCGGAACATCCCTCCGCTCTCATAACATTTTCCAACAAATAGTCCATACTTAGTAACAACTAATTTATTAGACTCGAATACCAACTTAAACCCTTCTCTACATAGAAGGGAGC